TTTATATATTTCTTTTTAGTACTATACATTTTTATGTTCTGATGTTAATAAAATTGCAATGTTTTTTTTTCTTTCTAATTTTAGTGTGCAACAAGTATATCGGTAGTAATACAAATTGGTTACACAGACAAAAAAAAAATCATTGCAATTAGCCCGACCGAGGTTTTGATTTAATCGAAAACGGCAGTGCGTAGAAAACCATGCATATCAAGTCAGATGTAAAAGAAGCAAAAGGAAATGTAGGTTTTTGTCGTCGATAGCAAAGTTCTATAGGTAGGTATGTAATATAAAAGTATTAAAGTGCGTTTTTTTCAGAAGAATATGTGTTGTTGAATTCTAGGTATTTTAAAATTTTAATAAAATATACTTATAAAAAAAACATGCTTGTGGAAAAAATTTCAACGAAAATAAAGTAACCGAGCCAAACAGTATACTATGTATGTATTATATCATATCAGAGAGCAATTACTTCATGCGATGAAAAAAAAAAATGAATTAAATATGACATGTTATGTGGTAAAATACAATGATGTCTATTGCGGGATACGATGTTAAATGATTATCAATATATAGATATTATATTAATGTCGAATGGGAGAATATTGTTGTAAACAATAAAAAAAATAATACTAAAACATTCCTATATATATATGTATCGATTTCTGTACACTCATTACTTGATGTTTATCTACTTTGTACATGATTAACAATTATTAATTTTTTTTCTATACAATGTTTATAGTGTTAACTCCATAATGTACCTGGCTGGTACCAGACGGTGCCAACGTCTAATTTAAAGCTGCCCCACAGTTTTGACGCTTTTAATATGTGTCTGGATTGTAAGACCTTTTTGAGCGTTTGGACAGACAGAAAACAAAAACAAAATACAAGTCCAACAATTCGTGTAGGTAGAAAAATACAAATAYGTGTCAATCTAAATAATAAAATAATATGAACTCGACACATGCCCGGTGTTAAATCCAGTTGAACTAACGCAGACATGTCTCAATAAAAGTGCAAATTGTAATTTTTCAAAATAATTTCATCATATCATTTATAAATTCAACATTTAAGATTGATGAAAATAATAGGTATGTGGATTAAATTAATTTTTTTTATCKATATTGCCATAATATGATTATTTTTTAATATAATWATGAATTATAGTTATAGACACAATTTGCATTACTGACATCAACGTGTCAGTAAAAGTTAATTATGTGAAACATAAATTCGAAAATTAGAAAATAAATTTGTTTTTAATTAAGAGTATAGATTAAACCAATGATATCAATTGTTTTTGTACCTATAATAATATATTATAAAAACTATAGTTAATATATTATCATTTTGTATTGGATTAACATTAATTAACATTAACATATATTATTTATTCTATTGGAGGTTTAATAATGTAAAATAAAACCGTAATACGTATTAATGTATATTACAGTAGAACTTCGATTCTCTGTCCCCCGATTAACCGTCTTTCTTGGTTAACCGTCTGGCCACTTATATAGATATGGCAGCCAAAAAAGCACGTAATATGTTAAAACAACAAAAATTAATCAATTTTTATAATATTGATTGTTAAGTATGTATGTAATTATTGTTAATAATAATAAAACTTTTTAATAAATTAAAAAATAATTATAATAATGCACCAATAAATTATTACCTAATTATATCAATATGTATGTCATAATTACTAAAGAAAAACAATAAATAATAATATGTATGTATGTATGTTTAAATTTTTGTTGCTCGCTTAACTGTCTTTTCGATTATCCGTCAAAGCTCTGGTCCAGAGACTGACGGTTAATCGAGGTTCTACTGTATCTATAGTTGAATTCAATTATTTTAAATCATTTAAGACAGTTTTATAACACACATGAGTTTGAAAAAAGTGTAACCTGTTTCAATTTCAATTAAATTTTAATATTTAACGAATTAAAACTTTCATTTAATTGGTGTAATTTGATTTATCCTCTACACAAAATAGGGTTTTTGTCAATTCGATTGTTTAAGATGAAATGGTTTATCAATTATTGGTCTTAAATTAATTATTGGACTTAAATTAATTATTAGATTAATTACTCAATGGTCACTAATACCAATGAATTCTTTAACGAAAAATATCAAATATTTATAAAAGAATTGGGAACATTGATTTGATTTTGTATCTTATTATTATATTATTAATCCTTGAGGTAATAAAGAATTTAATTTTGTAACATTATTATAAACATAATTATTATTAATCTAAAATCTTTAATGTAATACTGTTAATCATAATTAAAGTATTTTTAATTTCTAATATTTTAGCTTGGAATAGAGCAAATAGATTATTTTTTACAATTATTGTTTTAAATATTATACATTTTTAACTGAATTACAAAAATCGTTTAAGAACTTTTTTGATAGAGCACCTAGTCAATAAGACAATTATTAATCATTTCCTAATTAATTATATACTCCTGATTGATTTATTTAGATTTATTAATATAATAAAATAAAATAAATGTTATAAAATATAGAGTTTTTAATAAAATCGAATATTAATAGATGTTCGAAATCATAAGAAAACTAAATATAATATGTTCAATTGTATATTTGGAGAAAAAAGTGAATAATGATTAATGTTTGATTAAGTTTTGGTAACAACATTGTATTGTTTTGTAAATCACTTTTTTTATGAATTATATAAAATATTCACTGACTAAATAAAGTTGATAAGAAAAAATAGTCATTTTTAAAATTAAAAATAAAGCCAAAAATATTATATTAGGTTTAATAAAGCATTCCGAAAAATCAGAAAGTATTCGATAAATATAACAACATAGACTGTTTAAATAGTTATGGTCTAAAAATACTGCTAACGGAGCATTTTGAACGACCAAGGTTTCGGTGAAACTTTATTGCACATGTATTACTGTAAAAATTAACATTTTTGAATCAATCATGGATATTATTGCTCATATTGGATATTCAAACGCGGAATAAGTATAATTACTTAGACTTATTTTTTAAATAACAATATCTAAAAGAAAACATTTTTTTATATCAAATCCACCCAATGAAATCATAATATCATTATTTTTTAAGTGAAATTATTTCGCAATCCCAATCCGACCGAATCCCTGGTGTACAAAATACCAATAACCATGTAGAAATATTTTTAACGGAATAATATGCGGACTATTTTGTAAATATTGCAGACAACATAATGGGATGTATTGTTGAATAAATTACAATAAGACAAAACATGGTAAAAAAGCAAAATTACGTGAGTATTAATTCGTGTATAAAGAGTGATAATGCTTGTGCGTGTGTATGTGTGTGTGGGTGTGTGTGTGTGTGTGTGTGTGTGTGCTCGCGCGAGCGCGCGTGAGTGTATGTGTGCATGTGCGTGTGTACGTTGCATCATATAATAATATGTTTGGTAGATATAGTACAAAGTGTACAAAGARGATAATAAAAAAACAATAATAAACAAATTATGAAAAAGAAAATGCAATGTACCGGGCGTGTCATAGACGGTGTGTAAGTCGATCTTGAATGATCCAACCACCGTGCCTGACCTTAGGATTTTTTTAGAATGCAAAACCTGAAGATTTTTCATAAAGATATTATTTAAAGAAAACACATAAACCATTATTGACTTCATAAAATTGCAATGGCGTTTTAAAATATATTTTGTTTAGTTTTTATATTTTTAAAATGTACAGTAAATATATAGTGYATAATCAAATAAATACATATTAGGTATCATATCTGTATGCTCGAAAAATAAATTTGGATATGTTAGCTACTTTCAAAAGTTTTAAGCATTTACAATCTCAAATACAACTGTGTATAATCCCTTTGATCTTAGAGGCATATTTCAATATATTCTCATTTATTATTCGCACTCAATATTTTATAAACGAATAATTATACTGATTATTAATGTCGTGGAATAACTTTATAATATTACAATAATCACTTTAGGGCTGAAAGACTACAGTTAGTAAAACTCTATTGATTATACTTCATACTCTTTTTAATAGGTATAAGGTATAACTGAATTCAATAACGTTTTTTATTTAATCATATAACTATATAGGTACTTACAAGGAAGTTTTTGGAATAAYATCAGCTATATTTTTAGATAGGTAATGATGTCTCATTATTAAAAATTGAAATTTCAAAATCTAATAATGTTTGCATCTTAAATAAATCAAATGATTAATATACCATTATTGACTATGTGGAATATTGAAAGTAGATCTTTCATTATAATTGATATTAATATGGATTGCTTCAAGATTCACATTAAAAAAAAAATTATCTATGTAATGARTATATACTATATAGGTATTAGGTGCATTATAGGTAAACAGTTTTATGGTATAAGACTGAAAAAACATATTATTCAAATATATTCGGGTTTTCATTAAGAGTAAAGAAAGAATGTAATAAATTCTAATAAAACGTAACAACTATAAAAATAAAATATTATGATAGTAAAATAAAAATTGTTCATGTTGAAAATTGAAATACCTTGAGCAAAGAGTTTTAGATAATTGAAATACATATATTATTTAGAAAATAAACTCGCATTGTTAATACTATACGAAAATTTTAATTTATCTATAAACTATTGTTAAATAGATAAAAAAAAACTTAATTAGAAATTTTTCGTRGGGCTGAGGATAGACATTTTTTACACACAAATGACTTAATTTTCAAATACATTGTATATGGTAGCTGATGATACATTATAAATACAATTATGAAGGCTCTAAAAAGGAATCTATCTCCCCTTATTTACGCACCCCTATAGGTACAATTTAAAGCAAAATTTTGTAGAACTTGTGTTAAGAATATATCCCCAATAACTTGAATATGTTTTATGAAAAAACCGCTAGTTAATGTTTTATTACATAATATTATTCGTTATATTATGTGAAAATAAAGGTTACAAATATTGAGCGTAATATACATTATTTTATTTAAATATTATGTTTAATGTTAATATCTTTCATATTTTATGTTTAATTTTGAAACTAATATTGTTATGAAACATGACCAACGATTTTATAGGAATATAAATGAAACATTTCAGTTTTGATGATAACATATTATATTTTTTTATAGTATGATATCAGAAAGTGATAACATATAATATAATATGTAATGATACCTAACAGTTTCTAAAAAAATGATGTTATCTGTATGTACTTTTAATATTTGATATTAAACATGAATTTTAATGTTTTACTAATCGTAAAAAGTATATGTATATAATGAATAAATTATAGCTCAAGCATGTGAATTTTATGTTAGAAATGTACTAATTTATTCTACTTAGATTAATTTTTACATTTCTGGTCAGAGTACTGTGAAATTAGTTGTTATGAACTAATCGAATGTGAAGTACCAACAATTATTAGGGTACTATAAAGCTCAAAGTATAAAATAATTTATAATATAYATCATATTTTATTTTAAGTGATGTCTTAGACGTTTAGAGATGATTTTTTATTTTTGTTATTTATGTAATTTTATGATAGTAATTACAGAAGTTTCATTGTTAAATAAATATACTTGGTTTAGATTTTTCGAAACAAGTAAGTTTATATTATATAGGCACTCATAAAAAATATATATACATACACCTGTATACAGGTAGTCAGGTAGGTTAGCGTAATAATTACCCGTCATAATTCTATATGTTTGTTAAAATTTACCGTTAGTTATAGTTAAACACTATAACAGCCCATACTATACACATAGATACAATTGAATTATGTTGATATAAACAAGAATTACTTACCGATAGTGTAATGATTTTATCAAATAACATTACAGTTGGCATATGAAAATCGAATACAAAATACTGAAAAAAAGAAATTGCAGAAATTTATTAAAATCGATATACATATGTCATAATATATAGATATTTAATATCTATTAGATATGCATATAAATATACAACATAGTATAGTAGGTATATTAGAAACTTGTATTAAAAATAATACAAGTCTTGACATATTTTTTTTTTATTATAAGTATTAAAAAAGATCGACTTACATATGTTAATGCTAAATATGCTTTATTAAAACCACATAGATAAATAATATAATCGATCAGTTTGGAGCTTATAGTTTTTTAATACAATAGTGACYGATCAATGATCATTATGGATTTTTCTCGCAAAAATGAAATCTATGTTAGTCGGCGATAAATTCAAGTACCAGATTGGTGCAGCAAATCTATTATTYACACATACTACGGTTTGCATGACAGTTAAATGAGATCTTATAAGTGGCAGTTTCTTTGGTTGAAACCAACTGTACGTTAATCAGTCTTGTCGACTCACCATTAAAGACGTACTTAAACAGTAAACATGGTAACCGCATTCGTGGGATTGGACATCAATGCCATAAGATCCGCGAGGATAGAAATATTAATAGTATTCTTATTAAATTTTAAATCCATTATAGTTAGTAATAAATAATACATTATTTTTATGGAACAACGTATACATATAAAAACTAAATTTTAATAACTCATTCACGGTATTTACATACATTTAATTTGGTCATTATCTACAAAATGAAACATTAATAAAGTGAATAATATAATGTAATTAATTAATTTTGAATATCTTAGATATTAATTTTGAATTAAGATGTTATATATTATTATTATTATTACTATGGTTATTGTTAATCATAAATGAAAAAATTAACGTATAGTTATAAGAATAAAAATTATTAAATACGGCATACGACCTTAAATAGATACAGTATATAATARAAAGAATTGAATAATGAAAAACTTTTATTATTAACAATGTTTTAAAAATATTTTTATTTTTATTTCTTAAAGAGAAAATAAAAATGTAAAAAATTGTATCAAGTTTTGAAAAATTGTATGATAGCTCTTTCTAAATCTGATTAATAGAACAATTTTTACGATAAAATAAATTTATCTAAATAAAGTAGATTATTTTTTAAATTATTTTATCATCTATGTAATTTTCACAATTTTTGTCACATGTTTAACTAGCATCAATTTTGTACAGATTTTTCTTTTTCATTTTACCCTTTATATAGTTGTATAATACTATAATATATAAACTATAATTATTCTGATTCAACGGTTTACATAAAATCTTATATTAAAGGTTTTGAAATATTATGATATCGTATAAATTATAAGGTTACAGATTTGAAATTTATAATAATATTATGATTTATGATGCAAGAAAAATGAAACCATGACAGTAGTGTACCTATTTTGCCTATATAAAGCGCCGTGTGATCGAATGTTATTTCCAAAGACCAAAGCGTTTAAAACATATTGCTTGACCCTCATGTAGCTACTTGAGGGTCAAGCAATGTGCAAACAGTACGGCTCTCATGTAGTGGTTACACACTAAAAAAAAAGGCATTGAAAACATATTATACACGTCACGAGACTGAAAAAATGTGGAACAAATACCCAAAAATCACTTAAAAATATTTTTAATATTTAATTTTACACTTCTTAGAGTATTTTATATTTATGTATTATATGTATTTAGAAATTAAACTGAATTTCCTCGTTTTTTCCAGATTTTTTTGCAGGAGTTAGAGGTATGCCCAGTTTTTTTACATATGTAACAAGTAAGCGTGTTGTCGGTTAAAAAGATTTTGAAATTGGGGTTATCATATTTAATTTTTATTGATCTGGGAACATTTTCAATATAATCTGGGTGTATGTACCTGACGACGAAAACTGCTGATGTGTGTTAGTTCATCATGAAAACCGGCTTTCAGAAAGGTGATTTCCTATAATGGTCTGATGCAGGCTAATATTAAATATTCGTTGATTACGTCGTGTGGGATTATTGGATGGGCATTAAAAATAATAAATCTATCTTTTTGCTGGGTTAATCAAGCGACGAAAAGGTATTTGGTATTCGTTTATTGTTATATTATACATGAATAATTTTGAATTAGTTCATTAACAGTACATTTGTCCGAAAAATAAACGCAGAATCGATTATTGGAGATACGAGATGCAAAAGATATTTTTTGGTTGATGTAATATTGACGAGAGATTTTATATATGAGGTAGTTATATCATTAATAGTGTTTAAAATAATGGCTTGTTCTTTTTTTAGAAATTTTGTGTTGGCCGTGGTTTCTGTAAAGGGTTTTAATTAAGATGTAGATTGCATATTTTGTTCTTGGGAATCCATGATTGATGTAATTTTCGTAGCAATTTATCGGTTAATTGCACGGGAGTTTACCAATTGCGCTTAAAATTACCTTTTCATATACCAATTGCGCTCTAAACATTTAAGGGTCGATATACCAATTGCGCTCTAAAAATTTTAGGGTCGATAGACCAATTGCGCTCTAAAAATTTTAGGGTCGATAGACCAATTGCGCTCTATACATTTTTTACATGTATTATACAGTTTTACAAGGTTTATGCAGTTTAGTCAATGAAATCTAA